TAATAAATATGAAATACTTAAAACACTCAATCAGCACTGACTTCAAGGGATTCCTTGAAGCCAATGCTGATAGAATTTTTTTTGTTCAAAGAATATTTTCTGAATTTTTAATGTTTAGAATTATAGTTATACAATTACATTAATCCAAACTTTTGATGTTTCTTCATAAATCACTTGCATGGCAGGATGACTAGTGATGTGATTAGTTGATACATCTACCATATGGTCTGGAGGTACAAAGTATGAAAGAGGTATTAAAATTAACTGAAGATGGCTTTGTTGTCGTTCCAAAACTTGAGTCCATACACTACAAAATAAATGAATAATTTGACTACTAAAAATTAAGTATATGATAAGGTTGCATGCAAAATTCGTTACTACTTAAGCAAAAAACATCTAATTGAACAACAAAATAAAGAAGCTAAACAAACTGCTGAATTATTAGGCTATAATGTGACTTTGTAATTAATTAAATATTAAATAATTTGTCTAGAGGTAGGCAATTAAGCTGCCATCTCTTGTTAGATTTAATACTTATAATAAATTTAATTTAATTTATAATTTTCTGGATTTTCTAACCTTATTATAGCCTGATAATTTGGCAGTTTGGCTATAACTATAAATCAGATTTTTGAGATGATGTAGATATAAAGAATATATAAGAGAAAAAAATACAAAACACTTGAGAATAGGCAAAAAAATTCACATATTATTTACAAACATGTTTTAAAGATATAATATCCACAAGTTGTACATTTTAAGTTTAATTAAACGACCACTACTAATTAAATAATAATCACAAGAGTAATTTGGAATGTGTTTTCAGTCTCAATTTACCTCTTTACATTATGTACAGTACAATTGCAATATTTCTATTTTCACTACAAAATTTCATTGACAGTTTCTACATTATCCAATTTCCAAAGAAAAAAAAATTCATCAGCATAATAATGACTAAAAATATTAAGCTGATAAATTTTGATTAAATTTCTAAACCCAAGCAATGTAAAAAAATTATTTATCAATTATCTACAATATTTATTAGTGAAAATAGTTGTAATTATGTATGAAAAACATATTATCTGTAAGATCTGCTTCTTTTTTATTTATTAATAATTTTTAAGAAAATTAATTAATATTAACAGTTTTATTTTCATAAATAGAGCATTAATTAAAAAACAGAAATATACATTAAAATACTTTTATTGGACTGCAATTCAAATTGCAGACCTATACATTCCCATTATCATATGTCTGTCCTGTCGTTAATCTGGAATCAGCGGAGAGACACTCAGATGAAACACATTGTACTGGTTAAGGTATCTTCGTTTAATCAAGTAATTAATGTACAAATGAGTCTTTACATAATGGTAGGACGAACGTCCGTACGTGTCGACAGATAGTAGTCTGAACAAAGAAACAAGTGAAGACAAAGGGTCATAAAACACTTTATTTGGTTATTGGGAAGGTCCCTTTAGTAGGTCAAATTGGTTTGCGTCGAGAGTACCGACATGTCCATCCTTCATTAATCAAGACCATATACAGAAAACTTAGGAGTTGGAGACTGCAATTAACTATATATGAACTTCTGATCTAGACATAAAGTCATATGATTTATTAAAATTAAAATATGATTAAGAATTTCAGCCCAGCATTGTGATGAGTAACAAATGAGGGCAAGGTGAAAAGTTCTTGGCCTAATAGTGAAAAAAATGAGTTTTTTTATTTTAAAAATGCATTTATTTCTCAATGTAGTCTCCCTTTAGTTCAATACACTTTGTCCAATGTATCTCCAATAACTGGATTCTGTCCCTGAAGTGCGATTCTGGAAGGTCTTCAAAATATCCATTTACTGCTGCTATCATCTCTTCACTTAACCCAAAATGTTTTCCAGCCAAAAATTTCTTAAGATTTGGGAATAGATGAAAGAGGGAGCCAAATCTGGAAAATAGGGAAGATGTTCCAAAAATTCATACTTCAAATCCCTCAATTTTCCCATTGCCAAAGCACCTTTATGAGCAGGTGCATTGTCCTGCTAAAAAACGATTTTTTTTCTTTTGCAAACCAGGCCTTTTCTCTCTAATTTTTTCATGTAGCTGGTCAAGAAGATGTGCGTAGTATTCCCCATTAATTGTTTGACCCTTTGACAGGTAGTCAATTAAAAGAATCCCTTTGGAATCCCAAAAAACACTAGCCATAACTTTTCTAGCCAATGTAATTGTCTTTGCTTTCTTCGGTACAGAGCCACCGGGTTCTAACCACTGCTTGGACTGTTGTTTTGACTCAGGTGTAAAGTGGTGAACCCATACTTCATCCATCGTAACAAATCTGCACAGAAAATTGGCTGGATCCTTCTTAATATGGCACAAACATTGCTGAGAAAGTTAATTCCTCATTTTGTTTGTGATCAGCATTTAACAAATGTGGCTCCCATCATGCACAAAGCTTTTTCATATTGAGTTCTTCATGTAAAATGTGCCATACCATTTCTTCTGAGGTGCCTACAGCCTTAGCTATCTCATACACGTTTAATCATCAATCATCTAGACCATATTGTGTATCTTCTCGATATTTTCTTTGGTAGTTGCTGTTTTTGGCCATCATTCACGTGGATCATCTTCAATCAATGTATGACCACGTTTAAACTCAGCTGCCCATTTTTTTATTGTTGATAATGAAGGTGCAGACTCCTTATACACTTTTACCAACTTTAGAAGAATTTCTGTTGCGACCATCCGAAACAAAGAATTTTATGATGGATCTATATTCAAGTTTATTCATTTTGTCAAAAACAAACAAAATGCTTACTTTAAATAGCCGTATAAAACAAACTATTTGTCTGATCAAATTCACATTTGGTATTTACTTTTGCAACAAGTTTGCCACCATAACAAAACAGTAATTTCAATTGTAGCAGTGCCATCTATGGGCTAGGCCGAGAACTTTTCACCTTGCCCTCGTAATATATAATTAATTGTTTTAATAAAATTTATTTAATAATAATAATAAAAATATTATTGAATTAAATTCAATAATATAATTAAAAGATTATACAAATCATAAATCTGGTAAAAATGTACACCGACTACCAAAAATTCTAGAATTTGTCAATTTTTCAAAACAATTTCAATTTCAAAAAAGGACATATTTCTTATCAAGTAAAATTTAAGAAAACCCAGTGTAACTTAAAATACAAGTGTTATCACTGTTATAATTGCAGATAACAATTGTATCATGTTAAATACCGATTAAATTTTGTGATAACACAATCACGACTGAATCACAAAAAAGTTTACTTAAAAATAAGTACCTAAATAATGATCAAATTATTTCTGGTTTAGATTAAAAGAAATTATATAAAAGAAGAGATTAATGAATTAATAATTCATTTCAACAAATGATCTTTATAAACAACACTTTTCATAAACTGAAACAAAAAAAAATCTATTTAATGTTTTCATAAAGGATTGAAAAATGGCTGAAATGATTCTAATAAAAATAAAAAAGCAATGTAACCAACCAACTCTCTAATTAAGGAGCATCTAGAATTAGCTATCATACCAATAATAGTTTATTCACTTCAACTTTGTTCTATTTGATAGATTCCCTAAAGATGAAGTTTCCACAATAGAGGGATTAAAGTAACACAAAATTAAAAATTGTTTTTTTTTTTGTTTCTCTATTTTTAACCTTGATAAATGTAAGATTTAAATATAAATATTTTGAAAAACTCTATTAGATTACATAATCATTACTTTGAATTTTAACAACTCAGTATTTCATTTGCAAATGTATTATATCTCATCAAAATTGAAATTTTGGTGTTTAGTTTTTTTTAATCACATAAATCATTGTATGAAATTAAAATATTTTAGCTATAATTATGTTTCCTAATATTTAATATTCTCATAAAATATATAATTATTTTTGTTAAAATAAATTATTAAAGGGAAGTGAAGATTTTAAATAAAACTTTAAACTATAAATTTACATTAACCACTATTATAATATGTAAGCTGTATTAAAAAGGAATTTCTGTCCTTAGGAGTCAACAAACCATACGTTTCTATATTCAATGGTTGACTCAATGGTGAGAGAACGATGTTTCTAAATGGACCATTGAATTCTCCATTCAGACTAGTGACGTCAGTGCTGTTTCACCATTGAGCTCAACGGTCTCAAGGACCTGAAAGACCATTGAGTATTCAACAAAGTAACATGGCAGCTTCCATGAAAAAGTAAATTTCACTTATAGAAACTATCCATTCGCTGCTGTGGATGCTGTAATAGCGGATAGATTAACGAACAATCTGTATATGATAAAACATGTGATTGCACGATTATGTTGGATAATTTGGTCAATACTGAAATATTAAGTTTTTTTTTAATTTGTCCAAAATTGATTATGACTGCTATTTGGCCCTCTAAGTCTTCCTAATGATATAAATATTCAAGAAATTAATTAAAATTATTAAAGAAAGACCCAGTATACAAGAAAATGATACAGATATGGGTTCATTTGAATAAAAGGATTTATTCGAATAATGGTTAAGCGAGTTACTTTAATTATTTAGCAAAACAGTCACAATCGCCACCTTCTTGTTACTTAAGTCAGCCATCTTGAAAAGCAACCTCTCAACAAAAATGTTTCTTTTTTCTGCAAAACATGACATCAGATTGTTCAACGGAGGGACTCAACGAAAAATTCACTGTTGAGTCAACCACTGAATATAGAAACGTACTGAAACTAAAGTTCTTGAATATAATATTTTAAAACCAATAATCCAGCAATAAAAATTGAACTTCAATGCTTAAATGAATGTTTTCTACCATTTTCAATGGTCATCTTCAGATTACATAATAGAAGATTGAACATAGAATGTAAGATATAAATTTAAAATCAGTAATAGCAACAAACACTCCTGGGGAGGTGGATCCTATATATCCTATATTTATGAAAACAGGATAAATTCAGAGTAAATAATCCAAGCTGGATTTCCTTCTAAGCTGTCATTCATTCCAAATTTAGCCTGCTCCCATATATAGAATCCATCTCCCTACAAAGTGTTCATCACTACTACCACTTTAAAATTTATATCTTATGTTCTATGTTTGATCTTCTATTATGTAACCTGACAATGCCATTGAAAGTGGCTGAAAAATTTAAGTATTAAAGTTCACTTTTTGTTGCTGGATTATTGGTTTTAGTTATATTTGCATCAAGCTTACTTTGGTGTTTTTTAAAGTTCCTGAAAGTGGAGAAAGGCAATTTTTCAGAAAAGATGTTTATTCAACAGACTGGTTTCTTTGAAATATATATATATATCAGTATATATTTTATATTGTAGATGGAACTGCTATAAGTAAAGAATTAATTACAGGAAATCCTCATTAGTTTAAAATTCAGGGGAGAAAATATTTGCAACTTCGAATTATCCAAGATTTACATATTTCTGTATAATATGCCAAATGCCATGTAACTAATGTAATTTATTAAGCAAAAGGAATAAGGCTATGTATACAGAATGCTATTTTCATTAATTAATAATTAATAATAATAATATAAATAAACTGCAGGTAAACAGCAAGTATCTAGTGAGAACTCACATGTTGCCAGATAGGTTTTTATAAAAAGTAAACCAGAATTTTTCAAAATCTAGCTCAAATTATTTTTTAAGTGGCTCAGAAAGTAGTAGCCTAGAACCCTACAAATATCTCAATCTGCTACTGGTAGCCCTATCTTGCAATCCTAAAAACAAGCTGTATTTTATGATAAGACAAAGAAGGGTATTCCATGAGTAAGATAACAGCAGGAAATGTTACAATAAAAGCAGAGTCATATTGGCCAGATTACAGTCGTTTTTGGTCTATTGTTCTCTTAAAATATGGAGTCATTTCAATCTAAATAAATGAGTTAACTTATGCATATCAGATTTTCACTTGGAATTTTGAAGTAGCTGTATTTTGAACTAACTGAATTCCTTAACAAGTAAATCTTTATCCCCAGCCAGGACAAACATACAGTTACAAACTAATGGGATTTCAAACTATCTGAGTTTAAATTAAAGAGGATTTCCTGTAACAGATAGTATTAATTAGTTCTTTATTTACAGCATAATAGAAATAATTAATAAAAGCAGATAAACAAATAATTATAATTATTTGTTTATCTACTTAAATAATTAAATACACTTGTGCATTAATATTTTGCATAAAGTATCAATTTATAAATATTAATCAAATTCAACTTAGTGCTTAAATTTTATATTAATAAAAAAAAATTATATATATATATTCAAAATTATATCATACTATTTTCCATCTTGTGTCCATCCAGCTCTAACAATGTATTCTATACTTGGATTAAGATAATATAATGACTGAACTAATTGTAGATAAACTATATTTTCTATCTGTAAATAAATAAAAAAATATATTTTAAAAAATGCATATTTAATTCATATGGACATGTTACAAAACTTTGTAGTATTTCACACACAAAATCTAAAAGCAATGAAAAACATATATAACTATCATTTCACGCTGTCTACAATTATTCTACTAAAAGGATTCTTCTTTGAATGTGTATTCAGTAACAAACTATTCAGATATTAATTAATATTTGATATAAAGTGTGTGATTTAAACAGAATAAATTATTATAATACATGTATCAGGCCAAATCACCCATTTATCTATCCAAAATAAACAAATTATAATTTGTGGGTGCTTGACAAATAGTTTTTTATATCACAAAAATTCTGTGGACAATCTTAAATTTTGACTATAAATGAATGTTCAAATATTTAGTTCTTATTAAATTTTATTTACCTCTACAAAAATAAAGGTATGAGGAATTAAAGGTAAAAAATATATCATATGAAGAGATTAACAAATATCAAATGTACTTATAGTTTCATATAAGTTGCAGAGGGAACACGGAGGTATTAAAATGGGATTTCAATTATTTAACCTGAACTACAATTGAATTTGAATTTAGTTTCAAATTGTTCTAATGAAACAGAAAAATGAATTTAAGAAAAGAATTTCTACCTTTTACCATTACACAAAATTTGAAATACCTAGTTTTTGATAGAAGAAGCTTTCAAAATTTGAAAAGCTTCCTTTAAGCATCAAACTATAAGCAAAAGTTTTTTCTATAACCTTTTAAGAACACAAATACAGTAGAGCATCGTTTATCCGAAATAATTCCAGTTGGCAAATTTAAATTTTTGCTAGAGCTGTGGCGCTACAATCTTGGGCTACTTTAATATTTTTTTTGTTGGAGTGTGTTTTAGCTGGCAGCACTGGCACTGTTGTATGGTGTTTTTATGAGGACTGTGTGTGGTGCTGAATCGAACATTTTTGATACTAGATCAACTTCTAAAGTATATTTTTTTTTTTGGTTTTTATATTTTTCAATGTATTTATTTTGTTTGTACAAAATAATTTTTAATGATACAATAGTCACGATTATTATTTTAAAAAGTTTACATTAGGCTTAACATCGACGAAAATTCAACGCGAAGTGACACGCAATGGAGAAAAATTTCAACATGGGATAGGTTAATACATTTTTTCGTACATAATTGGTTATCCAAACAACCCCATTCCCCAATTGATTCGGATAAACGATGCTCTACTGTAAATAAATAAAACTGTTTCTTATGTGTTAAAGCTTCTTAACTCTTTAATCTAATTTCTATGTGAGTGAGTTTGTTCTTATTCAAACTATTACCTTTTGTTTGCTTTCATTTTGATTGTCATTTTTATAGCTTTTTATTTTCCAATTCAAGACCTAACACAGTTTGATTAGTACTCATAAAATTTTGATTTATTATTAGTTCCACAAATGCATTGCTTTTAGCAAATTATTAATACTAACAAATATTATTAAAAAACAGGAAACATCATTTACTTATTATTTTTTTCAAAAACTATCATTTACACTGAAAATTTCTAGACCAATTTTTTGTTAAAATTGTAAAATAAATTAACTTATATTTAAGGATTGAGAGAGAAAACTTAATATGGAATTGGCTACATTGATATTTAAATAATATTTTAAATTACACATTTAGAAATGGAATTCTTACTTGACCAGATGCAGATAAGCTAAATTGAACCATTTTCAATGATGATTGAGCATTGGAAGTTCCTATGAAATGAAAAATAGCAATTACGTGATAAAATCATTGCAAAATGTTTAATTAGTATATTAGGTCCTTGATTAAATGGACTACAATAAAAAAAAAAAACAAAAATTTCTGTCCTAAAGAAACAATTTGAAAAGTTTTTATTCATTAATAGAACATAGAGGATGGGCAAATAAGTATAAATTACTCAATATACTTTAAGTTATTATTTCATTCATACTTATACATTATATTAATACTTTAATATATATATCTTGTACATTGTAAATTTGTTATTAATGAATGAAACTAACTTCTACATATAATTGGATTGATATCTGTAACCACATACACAAATCAAAATCTTTATAAACCTATTTTATAATTTAATGTAAATTTGACGATTGTTTTTGATCTGATACAAGTTCTACTTCAAGTCAACAATGTTTTTAATTGGAATGAACAGAACAAATTTTAAATTTTTAGTAAAATAAAGTTACAAAATTAAAATATATAACAATATCAGAAATATTAATAATCATGTATACAGTAAATATACCATAAAAATAATATTAACTGATGTATGTTAATATTGTCCAGTTTTACATAGAACACTGCCATGCACATTAGATGCTTTTTCCATATTTAAAGCTAATGCAGCTGCCCATCAGGTCAGCTTTATGGATTTCTAAAGCTTCTAGAGCCATAGTGTGGTCATTTTGCATGTCCATCTCCGTAGCATAAATGGACAAGGTGATAGTATTTTTTTGTTCATTATATTATAACATTGTTCTTTGTTCTATAAGCGCAATGTAGCGTAATAACGATCACTTGGCACTATTCACTTCTTTATTCACTTTTCGATGAAAAGTGAAAAAAAGAAGTGAATAGTGCCAAGTGATCGTTATTACGCTACATTGCACTTATAGAACAAATATAAAAAATACGACATGGTTTCAAAACATGGTAAAACATTGTTCTTGTAACCTTTTGCATATGGAGTGCTTGATAGAGTCAATGTACACCAGCACCAATGTATCTTTGTATAGCCCTGGAGCACTACATTAGTCAGCCTTATCTTTTCTATTGTGCAGAAACTTATACAGTGTGAGAGCTTCACTTGTAGGCTAACTTATACAAGGAAATAGCTGACAATATGAGTACAAGTTAATCTACAGGTGAATTCCCAAACTAGATAAGTTGCTAAACAATGGAAAAAACAAGGCTGATGAATGTAGGCACCAGGGGTATACTTCATATACCACTGGTGTATGTTGGATGTTGGGTCTACCAAGTGTGCCATATACAAAAGATTACAACAACAACATTACAATATAATGAACAAAAAAAAAAAAAAACTACCACTCTATCCATTTATGTCACAGAGACCAGCATGCAAGCGTAACTCCAAAATGCCATGCTAATCAAATCCTGGCAAACCAACCACACTACAGTTCTAGAAGCTTTAGAAATCTACAAAGTTGAACGAATGGGCAGTTGCATTAGCTTTAAAGATGGAAAAAGCATCTCATATGCTTGGCAATGTTCTATTTAAAACTGGACAATATTAACATACATTCATTAATATTATTTTTGTNTATTATTTGTAAATTTTCATCCAAATGACAAATTAAGTTTCTGAAGGCAAAGTCTGTCCAAAAAAGAACCACTATTTATTTATCTCATATTCCAGACTACACACTTTCTTGGCAACAGACCTTTCTTTTTAGGCTACTGGTCGCCAGAAATTAAAAAATTCGGACGAAAATTTACAAATGAAATTTTTACAATGTATCATCACCAGGGGGCAGCTTTTTAAATCTACATTTTCCAGTGCTCATTTCCAGTAGATGAAAGCCCTAACATCCAAACAAGGTATGGATGGAAGCAAGAAGTTTGTATATCACGAGTTCCATTTTTAGAAATTCTTGCAATTTCAATTGGATATATTTTTTGTGTTTTTAAAACGACTTTTTTTAACTTCTGGCAACCAATAGCCTAAAAAGAAAGATCTATCTCCAAGAAAGTGTGTAGTCTGGAACACGAGATAAATAAATGGTGGTTCCCTTTTGGAAAGACTTTACATTCAGAAACAATATATTACTTTCAGTTCTCTGGAAGGTAAATAGCTTTTTAGATTAATATATGTTCTGGGTATAAGTATCCAACTTCACTGGGCAAATATAAACATTAGGCTGGCTTTATTTTTGCTGTTCATTCTTCTAAGTATGGATCTATAGGTTTCAGAACATTAAGTATCTTTGTACAGTTTTATTCTAATAAAGCAGTGTTTTATAATCATTTGTACTGAAGAAAGTGAAATAAATTAAACTCTACAATAATAAACAATGAGCAGCAACAAAATAAATTTTGAACAAGAGCCAGCAAATTTTCAATTATTTGTAATAAAAGAAATAAAGAAATACTACTACTATTATAAAATTTGCAATGTTTATTCCTTACTAAAAAATTTTAGGTGATTAACCTACAATATTAGCTGAATAACCTGAAATATGACTGCTACAGCAAATTTCCTAAACAAACCATCACGTAATGATAACAAAGCAATAAGTCTGGTTATTTTTAAAATTAGTAATGATAAATAAAATAAAAAACATTTTTAACTTGTCGGAAGAAAAATTGAGCTGAGTTTATCAGCTAAAACCAGAAAGAGAGAGAACAATGAGCTCAACTGTTTTATTTTTACATCAATTTTTTTTGTGTGTATAATGTTTTATAAATATAACACTTTATGAATTATACATTAATATACTATTTTTACAGTTATTCATTTTAAAGTTTAATCTGAAATTATTTATAAACCAATAATTCTATAATAAAAGAATAATATAAATTTTAAGTATTAAAAATTCAAGTAATTGAAATGATCACTTACCCACCACCTGAGAAATCTTATTCGAAGTAGGCCTAAACTGGAAAAACCTATAAGTATAATTAAACTTTCAATTATTATATACCAAAATAAGTTCATTTTCCACTTAGAATAATATAAATCACATAATATTTAAGGAATGTGAAAAATTAATCAAATGCAAGTATTTTTCTTTAGAAAGACTTTATATGCAAGAATTTTTGGAATCTAATCACCTGAAGTGGTTTGTTTTACTGAAATTCCAATTTAACTAATTAACAGATCAATCTAATTTGTTTTACAAAGATTGCTGAACTTTCTTATCTACATTAAATAACTTTTCAATAGATAGAATCATAGTCATCGTCAACGACTGATTAAAGTTTAAAAGAATGTTAGATAGAAAGATAAATCTTAAATATAAGTACAAAAGTATTTTTTTTTTTACTTAAACAAATGATATTTTAATTATAATAATGTGTTCTAACAACTGCTCTTACTGCTAGAAACTGGAAAAACGATTAATGACTAAAATTATCAAATAATTATTAAGAAAGATGTGCTAAATTCCAATCAATTAAAATATTAAATTTAGAGCTGATTTTTGTGATGANAAGACTTTATTAAACATTTTTTTTCTAAATTATTGTTTTCTTTAGTCTCCGGCCCCAATTAAAAATTATTTGTATGTATTTATATGCGAAATTATACCCCGACTTACGCGGTTACCGCTCGGTCCCACCTATCGCGTAAGTTCGGGGTATTACCGTACTCAATTATGTTACACTATATAAGCTTTATTAATTTTTTGATGCTAGAACACTATAACAAAACTCTGTTATCTTATGTATACATGTAGATAATTTATATAAATAAACAGGTATTTTTCCTTTATAATTAAGTTGTATAAGTCGTAGTGCACACTTCATTCAACCGCATTGTCTTTCAGGCTGTCTCCATCCTGGATCCCTAGTGTTTTCATATGCAACTGCTAACACAAAAATCGGAACAGTAGCCAACAAGGTTTCTGTATCTGCCTTAAGGGATACAGTGGTGTCAGTCTTGATATAGGCATCACCAATCTGGTGCTGACCCTCTGGTCACATTTGTGTGCAGTTTCCATTGCAGGAAAACATGTTCAAGTTCTAAACTGTCTTTTTGAATGAGTGTAACATGACACAACAGCAATTTAAAATAAACTTATTATTACAAAAGTACCATTCCTTACATTCTTTGCTATTTCTTCGTTGCTGCATAACAAATCATAGTTTTATTAATAATTCATTTTAAATGGGAGCATTGCATTGCTTGCAACAATATGACAGAGTGAGCAGTGCATTGTTGCAATTACACTGCAAAAGTGAAAAAATTAATTTTGATAATGAAAACTTAAAATTGTAAAAATTTTATTCATTTCATAAGTGTTATTGAGGCATAGTGAAAAATGCATTTATTTGATAAATGCATTTTTCATTATGCCTCAATAACACTTAAATTTCATGATTAAATGATAAAATTGCCATATCTTTATAAGTTATATATGTAGTAATTTATGCAGCTGACACTGTATGAATACTTGTCAAGTTTTAGATGATCCATGCATTACTTCTTTGATCATTTCATTTCTCAAACAGAAAGCATTCCAGGTTAAACAATTGGCAAAAATTTTGATTTGTTCTGTAATATTTCAAGCAATATTAATTTTTGAATTAAGATAATTGATTTTTGATAAGTGCATGACTATATCCCATAAAGAAAGAAAATTAAAATAATCAGTTCTGACAAAAGTGGTTGTTACTTGTTAAAGAATATAATTTTCCAAATAAACTAAAACAAAAACATTGTCATTTGACCCAATTTCAAGTGGGATGGAAGCTTTCATTTATAGGATAATAAAACACTGCAGTTTGTTTACATTTGGAGTAGGGGGTCAATGTCAGTACTGCCATAAATCTCTCTTTAAACTAATAAACTTTTCCTATCTTGACCTTGAAAGTAACCTATCCTTCTTCACTTGCAAACAAACCTAATGTCAATCTGCGAAGTCCTATATAATTTACAGTGAAGTAAAAATTGATGTGTTTATTTTTCCTCAAATTACAAAAAATAAACACATCAAATTTCACTTCATTGTAAAACTAAACATAAAATATGCATTTACATCAATCCAAATATATA